CTGTTAAAGAATCACGAGAAATTTGCTCAGTGAGGATTAATTATAAGATTTGCAGGTTTGTGCCTATGCTTTTTGTTAGCCATCCTTTTCACTTTCTTGCTTGACCTTTTTCTTCTTCTACCGAGGAAAGGATGATCCTTCCTGGTTCCAACTTCCAAGCTCTATAGTTTGAGGTTTCTAAAGTTATTTTTGTGAATCACCGACTGCTGCGTAATCTAATCAATAGTAGTATGATAAAAGTATACATTCAGTAACTAGGCTGAATCCGGTAATAAAAACTCTGTAATCCAAATAATATTTTGAAGAAGATGCAGTAATCGTGCCGGATCTTGTTATCAGAGCTGAAAATGCAGCCCAATTAGTCTCTGGCAATTTAGTACAATTAGTGACGGGATGGATCTGAAGTCTGAAGTGGCCCAATTTGGATGCACGATCTTGTCTTCGACTCTACTTGTACATTGCTTACCACATAGGCGGCATGGAAATCACATCAATTCTCCAGGATCCCCCCCCCCCCCTCATTCCAATTTAGGAGTCCAGCAGGTTTTGGCCCAAATTGTTTACAAGACCTTAAATCCTCTTCCCCCAAAACTTTTGTTGACCAGAATTATTCAAACGATCTGTCCGTCTGACAGACACCTTATACAAGGCATTCGTTAAAAAGTATTTTAGATTTTTCGAAACATAAAATGAATTACGAAAAGCATATAAATTCAAGATAATTAATCAGAAAAAATATATAAATACAATATGGAGTAATAATTATCAGTGTATATATATCCATGGTAAATTAAGTAAAATGTAAATGTGTTATTGAGTATTTACAGAGCACCTGTTAAAAAATTCAAAATATCAGTGGTAACCTCAAAGTCTCTAGTGAAATCTAACCCTCGGGAGTCTGAGATGCTAATCTGGCCCTCCCGCCTTTTAATTTGTTCGTCCTGCAATTAAGAAGATCATCACCCGGGACTTCGTCGAGATTGTGATCTGTTGCCGTTTGACTAGTGTGTCACCTTTTACAGTTGGGCAGCTTCTACCTGTTAAATTAAATCCAACGTCATCGTAAGTGAGGCCGCAGGTAGGTCGAGAGGGTTATCTTTGAGCATCTCTTAAATTTTGATGACTACAGCTTGTAGTTGGACGTTAGAAGTATCCGTCGTTTGTCACCCCTTAAAAAGGATACATCAGAGTACGGCTACTCATAGGTGGGAACAGACCAAACGCATATGTCAAATTGCCCTTAACTTTGGTTATTGTAAATAGGGCCGAAAACTAATTGATCGCGAGCGGCTCCGATACGAGGGCCACTCGAGCTCGGTCAACATCGAACTCGAGTCGAGTTCAAATTTCAATTCCAAAATACTATGAAGTCGATTATATATATATATATATTATTTATTTATTTTAATAGTAAATTTGCATATATATTTTTAATATTTTATTATTTATTAAGAAAAATAATTATTTTATTTATTTTTTAAAAATAAATAAATTATTTTTTTAAGCTTGAGCTCGACTAGAATTTGAGTCGAACTCAAGCTCGAGTTTGACATTTTGAATTTGTCGAGTTCGAACATCATAAAATTATGTCGAGACTCGATTGAATTAGTCCGAATCTCGACTCGGTTCGGTTCGGCTCATTTAGACCCCTCATTGTAAACCTTTAATGACTTTCAATTCTTGTGATAAGAAAGCTTAGAGGCCGTTCGCACTTTAGAGTTTTTGTTGAAAGTTTTTTAGAATATTTTTATGATACATTTTTAGACTGTATATTTATTTTACAATCATCACATCCTTATAGTACTTTTTTTTTTTTAAAGGAGGTTTTTAATTTAAGATTCACTGCTTATAATCCCTTTCTCCAATCATAATTGCACCTCACTAGTGATATAGTCACATAGCAATAACACATGGTTTTATTGAACCATAACATGAAAACCAGTGGCGGATTTAAGATGGGGGCACTGGGGGCCCCCAAAAATTTTCTATAATATCTATACAATTTTGATATAATTTTAAGTGTGCTCCGGAGTTTTCTTAGAAATGATGTGAAAGAATTACGTGATTCTTTAAGTTAGTTCATAACAGTGATGGATTTAAGGTCACTGCCTCCCTTAAATTCCTATAGTATCCACAGAATTTTGATATAATTTCAAATACGCTCCTGGAGTTTTCTTATGAAGGAAGCGAAAGAATTACGTGATCCTTTAAATTCGTTTATGAACTAATATTCTAAAAAGCTATGCAAGTTACAAAGTTCCATTTGAAGTAAATTAAAATAAATTTTTCATTTCAACTTGTTGGTGAATATTTTTTTACTTAAAAAACTAGAAAAAGAATAGATAAAAAATTTTAGTCTTATTTTTGCCCCACTGAAAATTTTTTGGCCGCCAAAGTTCGTTCGATATTTATTGTCCAGTTATCAACTCCTCTTTACATTCCCTTCCTCACTCTTGCGCTCTACTCTTGCTCTACTATGAAGAGCCAGTTCCTCCCGGAGACACCCTTTCCATCTGTGTACAACATCTTACTACTGATTCTCTTCATTCAATTCCCTTCCATTTTAGGCAACAACACGGAATGGTACACCAGCTGCACCAATTTGTTCAGTTGCGGGGGAATCAGCGGCGTTGATTACCCTTTCTGGGGTGGCAACAGGCCTCAAGAATGCGGTCATCCTGGACTAGAGCTCATGTGCGAGGATAGCACTCCAACCATCGAGATTATGAACGTGAAATATCGGGTTCTTCAAGTCAATCCCGGTTCTCAAATCCTCAGAATCACCAGAAATGAATTTGCAATCAAGGATATCTGTCCAGAGAAATTGGTGAACACCACCCTCGATGCCAATCTTTTCGAGTATGCTTCGGGATACGTCAATCTTACGATCCAATACGGCTGCCCCTCTCTGAATATTCCTGTCCCGGCTCAAATAGCCTGTCATATCAACGGAATCACTTACCAGAACGTTTATGTCGTTCCGGGGGCACAAGGGCCTGGAACTTGTCGGGCGAGCATATTTTTTCCAATTCATAGCACAGCTTTTGGAGGAATTACTGAAGAGCTGTCAATTCTGGGGCAAGTAATGGTCAGCGGATTTGAAGTGCGATGGAAAGTGGATAGTATGCAATGCAATGAGTGCAGGAATTCGAATGGCAGGTGCGGGTATGACCTCAAATCCAATCAATTTACTTGCCTATGTCCCGGAAATCAAGCCTCTGGTCGCTATGGATGCACAAGCACATCAAGTGATGAAAATAGTAGCCCGCACGAGTCCATGGTTGTTTCAGGTACGAATTGGTTTACATGTTAATTATGACTATGAATCAAAAAGTAAATTAAATGCCATGATCAGTCCATTTTAACTAGAAGAAGGTTTTAAAAGTTTCGGATTTAAAAGGGTACGGTTGCCAAACAAAGAAAGTCTCAACTGGACTCATATGCGCAAGGACGTCGGGTTCTGTTTTTGTAGATTTTGATCATATTTCTACAGAGGAACCAGAATCATTGCTGAATTTAATACTATCGTCTCTCTCCCCGTCTCTTGATGCTTCGTGTTGGTTCCCTATACATGTCACTAGGTTCTGAAAACTTTACAGTAGTATGTGTTTTGATTTGTCTGTTTGTGTACTAAAACAGACGATGGTATTTCTTTTTCTTTTTCTTTTTCTGAAGAGTTGGGGTTTAGTTGGTTGGTAGGAGAAGGGCTGTTTGAGCCGTGGCGAAATAAATTCGAGTTTTAAGGTCAACGCTTTCATGGCGTAAGAGCAGTCCATTCATAACCAAAAACCTAGCATTGCCTTCCTATGCTACGAGTGGTTCCCGATAGGACCCCAAGAAATGGTTGATGACACTCACAGGAACGGAATACCACAAGTTGCTTGGTTGGGCTGAAACCATCTCGATCCTGACTTGGTACTATTTTTAAAAGTTCATCTTTTAGCCGAAATGGATTTTTTTTTTTATTTAGTGTAAATTTATGAATCAAAATGGAACTCTATATTCAACAGAACTATTTTTTTCCCCCTTGGCTTATGATTATATATAAAAAAGAAGTATTCAAGCAGCTAATGGTCTTGTTTTTAGTTGGTCTGGATTTTATAAAATCCGGTTATAAAAACTTATTATGATCAAAATGGTCTTGTTACTCCATAATTAGTAATTATAAATTTTAACTTTTTTTGTCATTAAAAAAATTTATTATGAAAATATAAAAATAATTAAAAATATTATCATCAAAACTAATTATTCAAAAATCAAAATCCATAATTAGTTAAAATAATCAACCGAAAATAGGCCTAACGTGCTTTGGATGCTCAATGGATGCATTAAAACTATTGGATGGCACACGTCCATGTCCAAAATATCTTTAAATTAAAAAAAAAATGAAGAACCATAAGTAGAAGCCCAATAACAAACACTATCGAGCATGTGTGTGTGAAGAAAAAAAAAATGTCCAAAACACTAATACCGCACAAATATGCACTCTGTATAAAACTTCCACAACTGATTGGGCCTTGGCCCAATATAACCTAAAAAGTACTCTAGAAAATTATGCATCTCATAAATAAGTTGGGGCGTGTGGCATTTGGGAAGACGCCAAATGTGCATTTGCTGGAGTTGGGGATACACGTGTCATAGCAAACTCACCAAGGTTGGAAGCTGGGACCTCTTTCTCGATTGAATATGCTGGCGAAAAGCTAAGGGAGTCATTTTCATATCGACTAGCTTGGGGAAACTACCTCATATAGATTCCAGAACTGCATTGTAGTAACAAGCGAAAGAAGCTGTTCTGGGATCTGATAAGAGTAGTGCAAATCAATAATCAATGAAACTACTACCACTCTGCCTCCGCTTATTAACTTTTTTTTTTTTTTTTCTCGCAAAAATAAGTAAACTTGGAGGGAGGTTCATAATGAACGATCAAAAAGTCTCAGGAGAGGTTTCTATATACTTAATTTCTTATTTAGAGCTATAGCACCTTATTCTCCCGTCCAGCACACGGTTGAATTCAGATGGTTGTGACGCACTGCCAAAATGTCAAAATGTTCAACATCACTTTCTTTCTTTGCACTCATTTTCATCAATATTGAAAATTAGCTGCACTGTTCTGTCGACTAATATTAGCATCACTTGATCACCCCCCAAAGAATTCCATTATCTTTTCTTAAATTGCCTCCCCTCCGACTACTACATCAGTGGCTAGCGATTTCATTTGCAAAATAAATTTGTTCTCTTCATGACATCTTCTCCTCGAAAATAAATGAAATCCCACAGCCCTTTACAGTCGTTCCCCACTCTTCTCTGTTTTCTCGCCTCTAGTATACTTCTTCAACTTCATCCCGTTTCGAGTAATCCGGCGGAATTTTATGAGACCTGTCGGAATGAATTCAGCTGCGGCAGCATCACCGGAATAGGATATCCTTTCCGGGGACACCAAGATCCCGCATACTGTGGCTATCCCGGGCTAGAGCTAAGATGCGATCAGAGCAGTAATGTTACAAGACTCGATATCAAGAACATGACATTTTGGGTCCTGGATGTCCATCCAACCGCCCAGACTTTGAGGGTTGCTAGAGAAGACGTGATGCAGAACAACTGTCCTACTGATTTAGTAAACATGACTTTGGATTACACCCTGTTTGATTACTCCACGAGTTATATAAACGTCACGTTTATCTATGGCTGCCTAGTCAATGCACCCAATGTTGTTTTCTCATGCGGGAACAATAGTCTGTCGGTCTTGCCTGGAGAAGTTGGTGCTGGACTGTGTAAGGCCAGCGTGGTATATCCGGCACTTCAAACGGGTGATAGAGGCTCCTTTAATTTTACTGGCTTGGATCAAGTCCTCCGGCAAGGGTTCGACATCAGATGGATAGTGGATACTGGCATATGCAATGAGTGCACCAAGTCCGGTGGAAGGTGTGGGTACGGTGGTGGCACAAATCAAAATCAAAATCAAACTACTTGTTTCTGCCCAAATCCGCCCTATGTCCAGTCTGGTTCTTGCTCATCAAATTCATCACCACCACCTTCACCTTCACCTTCTAGAGGTACGCAAGCAAGCAAGTAGTAATAGAAGTAGTGGTATTTGCTTTTTAACTGTTTGGTCCTGATCGTATCTTGATTTGCCGTGATCACGAGAGAAAACCCATCTTCTCCTAATTTGCATGGATGGTTTTTTTCAGTGGAATAGGTTCTTTTTTTTAGGTGATCGTCTCGTCTGCGCTCTTGTCATGGTTTACCAATATTGTTAGGCTTGCCGATGCTTTGCCCTTTGGAGTTTTACCAAATAACGTTAGGCATGTTTTCAGATGGTTAGTGTCTGGGTTGCGCGGTGACCATTTGCTTATTAGCCTTATTTGACCTAGTCGGAAGCGAAGACTGGACTACCTTTGGCCACGTTATTGACTAATGCAGCAAAATAGAGCTATAGAGCAAGACACAAAAAAGCTTCTTCTAGTAGGCAACTTTTTTGTTGTCTTTTTTCAAATAATGAGCAATCTTAACAGGTTTTCCCCTCCCAGCCGTTTCGACTCCCAATTCCTCAGAAAACATCTTCCATTCCCACCTTGTTTCCTTCTACGATTCAACTTTTTCCGAAGGAAAGGAGTTTTTTTTTTCCTCCAATCCTTCCTGGATTTGCAATGTCTCGACGATTGTCTATTCTTTAATAGACTAAAGTTACGAAAATAACGTCGCGGAACTCCTGCGTCACTCCTAAGGCCCTTTTTCTGGGATTACATATTTCCCATTGACTTTGATCTTCCAAGAAAAAAGCCAAAAAAAGAAAGAAAGAAAGAAAAAAGGACACGGTTTCTGCGCGCCTGTTGCAGCCATCACTATTCTAATTGCTGAAGCTGCTGTTCTCATTGATATCGTCCAAGGACCGGTAAAAGTCTTGACTTACCAAAACCTGTTGACCGTAACCCAAGTGCAAAAATTCCACATTTGTTTGTTTCTTCAAAGATGCCACATCTTTTGTCTAGTTGTTTAGGCTATCAATTAATATTCCGCGTATCCCTTTTGCAATTACAGGTTCTCGGATTAGTTTAGACCAAGTCAGCCACTTTTTCATTCCAACGGAAGCTTCCATTCATTTCAAAAACTTAACCAAAAAAAGACAGGCTCATCTTAGTCAAAAGACCCAATGGTCAAGTTCCTCAAGCTAAAACGACTTCTATGAAATATCTCTCGTGGTTTATTCCCACCAAATGAACTGGGAGGAACATTTCCAACTCGCAAACTCTTCCTAGTTCCCTACCCTTCTCTTCTCTCTGTCCAACGATGCATTCCGAGGATCGCCTTCGAACCCTTTCGTTCTTTCTGATGATCACCGGCTTCACTTTACTTCACATCCCGAAATCTTTCAGCCAGGATCAACAACAGTTTGAAACCTGCAGCGAGCCGTTTCGGTGTGGAAATATTGACTTTTCTTATCCATTCTGGGGTGGGGATCGCCCGGAGAGTTGTGGCTATCCAGGTTTCAATCTAAGCTGCCAAGGGAACGTCCCTCGGTTTACAGTTGGCCCCGTTGCATACCGGATCCTCTCCTCTGTAGATACCTCATCTCAAACTGTTACTGTTGCCAGAGACGATCTGTGGGACAGTAATTGTCCTCAGTCTCTCCATAACACCACCTTGAATTTCAACATCTTCAGTTACCCCAACACCGTCGATAACATCACTCTGTACTATAATTGCACCCAGCTTCCTACCAACCTCCTTCAACTGCAATATCAGTTTAATTGCACCGTCAATAGTACCGCACCAAATACCAATTTTTTCCAGACAAGTAGTGCAGCCTTTTTGGGTGTTTGTACTGATAACATCAGGGTTCCTATTAATCGCGCCGCATTTCCGAGTCTCTTCAATACTACGGCCATATTTAATCCTGCGGATCTTCGAACCGCACTTACTACCGGCTTTCCTTTGCGATATGAAGCAAGTAATACAGCCTGCAATAATTGCTCTAACACAGGTGGCCGGTGCGGGTATGACACTCGGTCCAACTCATTTGCCTGCTATCCCAATAGAAATGGTACGCCCTCGTCATCCAAATCTTCAGTGTCAATCAGCTTGTGTAGTGGGTCCTGTTTGTTCTTTTAATCTCATGGCCAATTGATCGGTCTTTCTCTCCATTTTGCTAGGCTGTTAGTTATAGATCTGTCCTCCCATATGGCATCAGGGGTTGTTCTCATTATATTTCCTGAAAGCTTGGTTAGGTATTCTAGACTTGTTTAGTTTGTGGTATCTTCTTGGCTTCGCTTTCTTTCTCCTCATCTCCTTTATTTTTAACTTGTTACATGGCGTGCTCATCCATCACATATGCAGATACTTTTCCATTATTATGACATAAATCTAGAAATATGAAGTTTTATGCAGATGACCATTTGTTGTAGGATTTCTATGCTATGCGTTCTTTTTTTGGTTGTTTCTGGTTCTTTGAATAAAAATGGTTCTTAGCAGATGTTGGGTGGATGAAGTTCAAAAGATAATTTGCTCTTAGATAGGCGTTGTAGCCTTTCTTCTGCGTTTGATCTGAATATTTTCCTATATTCAGATTTCATCGGGAGAAAAGCTTTGGTGTTATTCCTCAATCTCGTGCATTCTTTACATCATCAAAATTCCAGCCAAAAAAAAAAAGAAAAGAAAAGAAAAAAATAGTTCTTGGTAGTTTGCTGCGTTTGATCTGATTTTTTCTAATATAAAAGAGTGCAACTTTTGATAAAATATATTAGCAGTGCAGATAAAAGGAATGTCAAAATGTGTGGGCGATTAATCTTTTAAAAAAATCATTGGACTACTGCTGAGTGCTGACTCTTTTTTTTTTTTCCATAAATCAAAACGGATATCAGTTAGCTATCATTCGTAGGAGTAGAATTTTCTTCGTCGTCTTCCCTCCTCCAATAAACAATTTTTTGACCCGACAAGACCATTCTCATCCATGATTTGCATTAAGAAATAGAGAGAAAGTTGTCCTTTTCTCTTCCCTTTTCTCTTCCCCACAAAACATTCATTGCACTGCTCATGCACCGCGTCGGTCAACCAAAGACAGCTCCTCCCCGCCTTCCACCTTCCGCCTTCCGCCTTCCACCTTCTTGAACCCTTCAATCAACCACTCCAACACAACTCTTGGGTAAAACAAAAGCAGTCTCCCCCCCCCGGCGGCCCCCCAACCACACACACACACACACCAACACCCCGGGGGATCCCTGCACCCTTTTACCAAAATGCCATCTCCTCCCTCCTCTCTCACTTGCATTCCCACTCTCCCAGTTCCCAAATGCCTTTCCCTCTCACTCTCATTCAATCTCTCCTCGTCACACCAATTATCTGCTTCGCCTTCTTTACGTTGTCGTTTTGCGATGGCGTCGCCCCCACTGCCCCCACTTTCATTAACTGCGATAAAACGTTCAACTGCGGCTCCATCACCAACGTCACCTTCCCCTTCACCGGGGGAGACCGCCCCGACCGCTGTGGACTCCCCGAGTTCAGACTCACCTGCCAGCAGCCCAACAATGTCGCCGAGTTGACTCACAGCTCCGTCACTTACCGAGTCCTCCAACTCGATCAGACCCTCAAAAGATTGACCCTTTCCCGCTCGGACCTCCACAACAACACCTGCCCATCCCATTTCACCAATTCCACCCTCCACCCTCAATTTGACCTTCTTCTCCTTCGGCGACCAGGACGACGATGCTTTGAGTATAATCTACGGGTGCAATTCCTCGGCTATGTCTATTAAGCCCCAGAATTTATTCAGTTGTAGTATTCCCGGAGTGAACTTTACGGATGCTTATTACATAGTCGGGCCGATTCCCAGTGATCCCATTTTGAGATCCATTAATTGCAGCGTCAGTGTTACGGTGCCAATACTGAGGTGTGCTGGGGCGAGGCTCACGAGTAGTGAGATAAGTCTTTCTGAGGCTTTAATGCAGGGTTTTAGCGTAAATTATAGCGACCCGTATGAGAACAATTGCTCCGACTGTACCCGGGTCGGTGGGCAATGCGGGTTTGATTCGGATTTGGGTCAGCCCGTCTGCGTTTGTGGGGATAGGTTCTGTGCATTGGCACCTCCCCCTCTTTCGGAAGATAGTAAAAATGCTTCTGCAGCATTACAGGTAGTAGTTTTGGTAAATTATTTGACTGCCTGGTTCCAAGACTCGGTTTTTGAATCTGTAGAAATTTATAAATGGTAAGCTTATTAGCGTTGGCTGACACTTGAATTTTGGATGTCATTATTTTGATTTGTTTATGTTGATCTTGAATGATTTATGATGCTTGAAAGTGCTTGCATTAGTTCGTACGTGTCATGAGAAAATTGTGCTGATGGTTTCACTAATCCCTGATTGTTGATGGTTTTATGATCATCCGCTACAACCATCCCCTTACGTTTATCATGTGGTTATCCATTTTATAGCATCTGCACATATTAGTGCTCTGCTACTGTGCGTGAACTTTCTCTTGTTCATATGTCTCCTATAAGACTGGTTTATCACTTAGCATCCATCATTATTATGTGGTTTTGTCAATCATATGTCTCAGTGCTAATGTTTCTTGGTGTTTTGATTCTTGTAGGCAGTAAAAGTGGTCCCGGCACTCCAGTAGGTACTGCCTCATTCTAACTATAACAAACTCAAGTTATGCATCTGTGGTTATTGTCTCAGAGCAAAATCTTAACATTCTTGTTGTGTTCTCAGTTCTTGCTATAGTAGGTGCAGTCCTTGCTGGTGTGGGTCTTGGTTGGTTAATTTTCTGGTGTAGGCAACGGAGGAGACGGCTTGCTGCTGCTAAAGCTGCAGAGAGTTACCAGACTCAGAGCAAGGATAATTCAACCACTGCTGCTAGCAAAGCCCCTACTTCTGTGCCTTCAACTGCTTTCACGAAAAGCATCCCTTCTTATCCTTCCTCAAAAACTGAATTTGGAAAAGAAAGCTCCTATTTTGGTGTCCAGGTCTTTAGCTACAGCGAACTTGAGGAAGCCACAGATGGTTTTTCTCAATCTAGAGAACTTGGAGATGGTGGCTTTGGCGCTGTATATTATGGTATGAATGCAAAACCTCATTCTTCATTTTTAATGAGCTAATAGCAACAACCAAAGCATTGACTCCAGGGAATTTGTTTTTTGAACTTGAATTAGGTGTTCTTACTGACGGTCGCGTTGTTGCAGTCAAGCGGTTATATGAAAATAATTTTAAGCGTGTTGAGCAGTTTATTAATGAAGTTGAGATCTTGACCCGTTTACGGCATCCAAACCTTGTGACACTATTTGGATGCACATCCAAAAGAAGCCGTGAGCTGTTGCTCGTGTATGAATATATACCAAATGGAACTGTGGCCGATCATCTACATGGGAAACGTGCCAGTTCTGGTTTGCTATCTTGGCCTGTCCGACTGAACATAGCCATTGAGACAGCTGATGCATTGGCTTATCTTCATAAATCAGATATCATACATCGTGATGTCAAAACCAACAACATCCTTCTAGACAATGACTTCCATGTAAAAGTCGCCGATTTTGGGTTATCAAGGTTGTTTCCCAACGATGTTACGCATGTATCTACAGCTCCGCAGGGGACACCCGGATACGTTGATCCTGAGTATTATCAATGCTACCAGCTCACTGAAAAGAGTGATGTTTACAGCTTTGGGGTGGTATTGATTGAACTAATTTCATCGCTGCAAGCTGTTGATACTAACAGGCACCGTCATGATATAAATTTGGCAAATATGGCCGTCAACAAAATCCAAAACCATACATTACATGAATTGGTAGATTCAAGTCTGGAGTTTGGGACAAATAGCCCTATGAGGAGGATGACAACATTAGTGGCTGAGCTAGCTTTTCGGTGTCTGCAGCAGGAGAGAGATATGAGGCCTTCAATGCAAGAAGTAGTGGATGCTCTTCGAGGAATTCAGAATGAAGGGTTGAATACTGCAAAGGTGGAGGTGGTGCATATCTTGGTTGATGACGTCGCGCCGCTCAAGGATAATGTTGTCCCTACATCGCCTGATTCAGTTGTTCCTGATAAGTGGCTTAGCAGCTCGACACCAAATTCAAGCGGGTGACGTTTCTGACTGGCTATGCTTTTTCTCTTGTAAAAAAAGATTGTACTAGAACAAAGTTCTTTGTTTCTCAATCGGTAACATTTAGAGATCTTTGCTGTTTCCTCATAGCACTACATTTTTGAAAATTTATTGGCCTTTGCTGTTTCCTCATAGCACTACACAGGAAATGTATCTACTTATTCTGTAATAGAAAACATAAGCAAGTGATTATATCAATTATTGTGGAGTTAGAGGGAATGTACATATTGTTGAATGGAGCTTCCAATACTTGCAACCAAAGTTGAGCACAAGGCAAATCTCCGGGTAGAATATACCAATACGTAGAGGTGGCAATATGGATAAATGGTTCATAATTGGTTTTGACTTAATGGATGGTGGATGAAATTTATCCAATTCATTTAAATCTATTTAATAAATGGATCTAAATGGATGGATCTAAATGGATTAAATAAAAACCAATTATCCATTTATAATCCATTTAAATATTTTGGTTACTTTTTTTTTTGTATTACCATTTCTTGTAATATGAAGATATTTTTTTATGTACTCGTAAATTTTAGGTATAGTTGGATGAGAAAGATGGCAAAATACTTAGATTTTTCATTTAAGAATTTAGGTAGTATTTTGGTCTAATTTAAGAACAATTGGTCTAATTTGGTTACCGTAATTTATAAATAAAATTTTCAAATGTTATTTAACCTATATCATAAATATAATTTTTAATTTTTTTTATCTCATACACGTCATGTCACAAAAAATTTATAATATTTTTTCAAATACAACCAGTGATTGAAAAATTTTCTGGGTTTAAATTAAAGAAACAGTGAGGGAACTCAGTTAGGAATAGGAGGGAAGGTTATGGTGGGGGACCAAAAAGGGGGGGGGGTTCCCAAATTGAGTTCGTATGCGGTCCGCCACATGATTGGGGAGCATGGAAGACTACACTGTCATATATTTCTTGCTTGCAAGTTTTGATCAGATTGGCTATTTTTATTTGGTTTTTAAATAAATGGATATATATGGTTTTTGTGGATAATCCATATAAATCCATTTAATTTAATGGTTTTACTTTGGTCAACCATTTAAAACCAATATCATAAATGGATAATTCAAAACCATTTAATTATGGATTATATAGATGGATAAATGGATCTCAATCCAAATTGCCACCTCTACCAATACGTCTCCCAGAAAACGTAACAAGGAAAATGCCATGTTTACACAGAAATTCGATTGAAAAATTCTTAACGTGTAAAAGTTTTGTTTTGAGTAGTCTGTGCAGCATTGATGGTCCAAACAATTAGCATTGATGGTCCTCCATTGAATTTAATGCAATTGGGATTACTAAGCAAGAATGCACATAACAAAATGATGTTCTCGACCGTTTTTTTTTTTTTTAAAGAATAGCTACCCATGATGTGCAACCTCTGTGGCTATTTTTTGCTTATTTGGTGAAAATTATCCTCTGATCACCAAGCAACTTGACCTTAAGGGCTTAAGCCACAATCAAATTCAAGTACTGGATGCTCCACAAGGAACTGAGAATGAAGGGTTTAATACTGAAAAATTGGAGGTGGCTGGCGGACAACTGGACATGGTGGGTTGCAAGTAGGTAGCATTTCTATTTGGGTACACTTACTTTTTATTGCCAAAAAAAAAAAAAAAAAATCATAGTTGAACAATTTCGTAGTGGGTTGACAGGGAAAATTGAATATGTGCTTTTGGGATCCAACGGGGCTCTCTCTGTCCTAATAACAGGTCGTTTTCTGGGGCTTTCTTTGTACTAATAACACCTTTTTTTTTTTCTATGATAACAATCCTATAACTTATGCTACGTTTTTAAACAGAAGAGCATATATAAAAGACTAGCAGGCATACAGAGTCGACTAAAATAAAAGATATTTTGTCACTTCTTTCTAATTTTTTTCACTATAAATATTGTACGAATATCCAACCTATCCTCCACATAGCGGGATTTAATCACTTTCTGATATCCACTGAATTAAAGCTCAGTGATAAACGACAGGCCATTTGGTTTCCCTCCACTGTCCCTTTCTAATGCAAAAGGTCAAAGCAGCGCAAGAAGCAAAACCCTTTTGCTACTATACTGTACTGTCGTGCTCGGAATTGGGTGTTTATATGAGCAATCACGAAGTGATGAAAATTTTATTCAAATTCCTTGCCAGCGAAATCAGCAGGTAAAGTTAAAATGGAAATAAAAGTACTGGACAAAATTTTACTACAAATTGCAAAATGGTGAATATTCAAATACCAATCCAAGGTATTACGTAAAGTATGTACCATGGTGTTGGAACAGTAGTAGTTTTGACAGGCGTCCAAGTTGGCGGTGTACGACCGTACAGCCTTTGCGGGAATCCTTTGCTGAAGTTGCAAGTAGAGGATTTCTTTATCCAGCAAGATTTGCCAGGCCACCAAGTGATTATCCAAAATTAAGGGTCAGGAAAAGGTGACCAAAGAATAAATAAAACTAATATTTAACTGGGATCGGTTATATATATCAAATGGACATAAGTATATCCCATAACCAAACTTACAAGGAGATGTCACAGCCTCCTTTAACTCTTGTATATGTGTAAGGATTTCCGTGTTTATATATATGTTTGATCTTAAGATCTGTCTAACTAACGGGTGTCCACTCGTTAAAATATATTTCGGATGTCGTATTTATTAAAATTTAAGATTAATTAGAGAAAGTAAATAAATATAAGTGAAAGTATGTAAGATTAAACAAGAAAAGTATATAAATATAAGGAATGGGAATAACTATTAACATGTGTATATAATGATAGGTTAATGTGAATTATAAGAGCGTTAAGGAATGTCTGATGAATACCCGTTAAATTTTTAAAACCCTTGATCTTATTACAGTCAATACGAGTCTTAAAAACATGTACAAAGAATTGAATTTTCACATTATTATGTGCGGTCAATCAAGATTGTAGTACTAAACCATATGATCCCCTGATATATGATCCACAGCCATTGCACGTCGTCAAACACACAACATACAGCTAATATTTTTCAATTAATTCTACAAGCACCCAAAAGTATTACTACTAACAAATATTATTATATTTGGAAACGACAATCTCATAATTAAAGATCCAATATCCACTGACAGATTGGGTAAGGAATGCATCATGAAATACCTTGAGAGTGCTTCATTTCTAATAATGTCTCGTATGACCACGAAATCTAGACATGCAATTATGCACATTTTAAAACTCAAAACCCCAATAGCATTTTATCGATTGACACCATACATTTTAATTCTCAAAAGAGCAATTATATATAAAAAAGAAAAAGAAACCAAGGATAATTGGCCCTCAACAATCAGAACCTTGATCAGTGGGTCCACCTTCATCCCGTACCTTACCGTCACCGTAAAATGCAATCCTTGTTTGGATTGGATGTCCACATTGTAGAAACACATAGTAATATGGCCGGCACAATATAATACTGTACACTTTGTAGCAGTGGGATTATCTTGCAATTTTACAAACATAAACAAAGCAAGCATGAAACAACTAGGATTCCTGTTTAGCTTAATACACTCTGTGTTATTGCTAATTTATGTATTAAAGTTGGCTGAGGATGGGAGTTAGATAAGTCGAAATCTCGTCATTGGATGACTTTAGTGCAATTATGCTTTGATAAAATTATGGTGCAAAATTTACACCATTTCTCGATCAACTAGCAACTATAATAGATTGAACGGAACTAAACATATAACCTCTGCAATTAGTGACGATATCAAATATAAGTTCGCAATTATGAAGGATTCAATATAGTCTGTTGGGATTACCATTTTCTAAAGTTTTTGTACAAAAAATATACTATAATAATTCGAGATATATGTGAAATAGAAAGATGAATAGGAAATATATTTATAAAAAAATGTGAATTTTTTTTTTAGAGAAAACTAACAATCCAAACAGGGCTTTGTGTGCTGTAAGTATAATTTTTTAAAAAAAAAAAAAGAGAGAAGAAAAATAAAGTAGGGCTTTGCTCCTTGGTCACCAATTTCTTCACTTTGCTATAAAATAAACGCTTTGTGCCATAGAACACTCATTAAAATATAATTTAGATATTATATATTTAAAAATATAAAATTAATTAGAGCAAATAAATGAATACAAGAAGGGTAGGTAGGATTAAATATAAAAAATATATAAATGCAAGAGAAAATAATAATAATTATTAGTACATATATATATATATATATATATGATAAGTTAGGTGAATATTAGACATATTGACGAAGTACCTTCGTAGCTGTTACAAAAATTCTAAAACAAAAAAAATAGAAATACATACAGTGTGGGACCCCCGAAGGACCGGTTCGAATCCCGACTTGATTGCCACGTGTAATAAATAATGCCTTGGCATCGATGGGAATGGGGAAAGAGCCGATACAGAACCCAACAAACGAGTCCGATATCCTTATATACGCCGTCCGTATACCCCAAATTTTCAATCCCCTTCTCTGTTCGTTATTTCTACTACTAAAACTGTACTGCTACTTTGTATATATTCCTGTTCACTCACTCAAATTCACTTTGACAAGTTTTGAAAAAAGGCAGCATCCTCTCTAAGTTCCAAATTTCCATGGCCACCCTTTATTCTTTCACCAAAAACAAGCCCAGATCTCACTTCTTCTCCCTAATCTCCCGCTTAATTTACTCTTAAAACTATTACAATTTATCCCTCAAACCCATTTTCATTTCTTGACAATTTAGAATTTTACGCCGCCCATCAATTGTTTATTATGGCGACGTTGCAGAAATTTAAGCTATTAGCCACGCAGTGTGCGGTCGCCGGGAGTCCGACGAGAAGCCCATCAGCGAGCCCAGTTATACACCTCCGCCGGAGGAAGACGCTGAGGATGTTGCTCAGCCGCGGGGGAAGTGGTAGCAGGAGGATTCCGCGCCGGGAAGAGGGTTCTCCGGATCGGAGGGGGTGCGAGAGGAACTCGCCGGAGAAAGGGAAGGAGTTGATGGTGAGTCATAAGCTGAGGGACTTGTTCGTTTCGTCGCCGCCGACGTTTGACGAGAGGGTGTCGGAGAATGCTAGAGAAGGGTTGCTGTCCGGTGGGGTTAGTAGCGGCGTCGGCGGCGGCGGCGTCGGTGGTGCGAGTGGCGGGTTTGGATTGAGGAGAGGTGGCGGGGGCCGACAGCTTAGACCGTTATCAGCGACGTTTCGGCAGCGGTTGCTTAGGAGGGCATGGAGGCCTGTGCTG